ATGTCTTTAAAGCATTAAAATTGGACATACCCTTCCCTAACTTACATTAGTTCTGTAAGTATCAAAGGTTTTGGAGGCAGTTAATCCCCATCTCAAGCCCCAAGAATCTTGGACAGTGTTTCTACTAACTCCTTAGACACCATGTAATATCAGTACATCTGTGACTTTTCACTTTGATTTTGTGCAAATCCAAATGACCATAAAAGCACTCAAATAGCCATGACTCTGACAAGTTTCCTTGGCAGTAACACTACCTTGTTGTTTTTTTTTCAAGTTCTCTAGTTCTTAGTTTTAGACAAGTTAGTATAATAATCTAAAGGCTAAAAAGCTACTTAGTAGACAAGAAATACCTGATACTAAGGTTGATATTAAAACCACTTAAATCTCTTTCCCTCACTCATTGTGCTTATTATTGTCAATTGGATAAGCCTATATCTTTTCATTCATTGGTGATTCACTTTTTATTCTTGAGACTAATTCCTACTCTTAAATGATTCATCTTAGGTACATGTGCTGCATTTGTCATTTCCTCACCACCTTCAATTTTTAAATCACTTCCTCTGTTTGCCTTGTCATTGTGAGCCTCTGGCATGAACACTTTCAATACTTCTTCAGCAATACTTTTCAAATATTATGGGTTTAATGATGGTCTCAAAAACAGCTCAATAATAAACATTGACTAATCAATAGTGTGATGATTGAGTCTAAAATAAGTATGCAGGCTGATGTCATTTGTTGGTGGCAGTCAGACTTGAAACAGGTTGTTCTACAAGACAACAAAGCTTTGTTTGTGTGTGTAAAAGTTTCTTGGTTGGATTCTCATAAGGAGAGTTAGTTCTATATTCATCTCTCTAGGTAAAGGGAATATATTGGTTAATATCCAGAATATATAACTACAAGTCAACAAAACTAAATATCCCAATTAGAAAATTGTCAAAGGACTTGGATAAACAGTTTTCCAAAGAAGATATTGAAGTGACCAGCTACAGTCTGCAAAAAGCAAACAGTAAGGCATGAAGATTCTGGTTTCCAAAGTTATCACATTATTACATTCCAAAATTATTTTAAAAACAAATGGCCAAGAAGTACATAAAAAGTTGCTCAATATTACTAATCATTAGGGAAATGCAAGTCAAAATTATAATCAGACACTATCTCATATCCATCAGGATGGGGACTATTGAAAGATAGAAATAACTGGTGTTGATGAGGATGAGGAGAAATCAGAATCCTTGTGTACTTTGTGGTAATGCAACATGCTACTGCTATTATGGAAAACAGTATGGCAGTTCCTCAAAATATTTAAAATAGAATTATAATACAATCCAGCATTTTCACTTCTGGGTATACATCCAAAAGAATTAAAAGTAGGTAATTAAATATTTGTACACCCACATTCATAGCAACATTATTCACAGTAGCCAAAAGGTAGAAGCAACACAAGTGTTCATTGGCAGATGAATGGACAAACATGTGGTACAAACAATTAATATTATTCATCCTTAGAGGGGAAAGAAATGCTAATCTATGTTCCAACATAGAGACATCTTAAAGACATTATACTAAGTAAAATAAGTCAATCACAAGAAGAAAAATACTGTCTGATTCCACTTATATGAGGTACCCAGGGCAGTCAAATTCAGAGAGAAAGAATGTAGAATGGTGGTTGCCAGGAAGGGGGGTGGTGGTTAAATAAGGTTTTTAATCTGTATAGATTTTTTTCAAGGTTAAAGGAGTTATGGGGATTGATTGCAAAATCATGTGAATGGACTTAACGAAACTCAACTGTACATTTGAAGATGGTAACTGTTATGTTATTTTGCCACAACTAGGAAGAAAAGAGTACTGATTGGAACAAAAGACATAGATAGATGTCCTGACTCTGAAATTTAGTGTTGCTAACTTTCCAGAATTTATTTATTCCACTCTAGAATATGAAGCCTTATTTATTTCTACTTGTATCCCAGGTACACAGAGAGAGTTATATGAGATAGTCCGTAGAAAATTACCTAGTAAACAACAAGCGGTTATTTTAGCATAAGCTATCAGTAGTAAATTGTAAAGAGTAAGGAATGTTTAGACTATGCCTAAGAAGCCAATGAATGAGTAATTTGAAAGAAATTTATTGAGTTAAAGGAATCCCAGAGACCTGAAGTATGGCGTGGACATGCAGTTCAAGTCAACACATTTCACTGAAAATTGACCACATGTCAGGTATATCCTAGATACAAATGCAAGAATAACCCACTAGCTGAACATATTGAAATCACAGACAGAAATCCAGAAATATTGTCCTGAGGGGGAGACAAGGGCAGTGAGAGAGTGTCAGCTTCCTGAACAAAGCAAGTGTTTCTAAGAAAATGGTATCTAGTCTGAGGTGTGAATGTTGAGTTAAATTTCACCATGCCGAAAGAAAAGAAACTAGGAAGAAGAAACAATTTATGGAAAAGTATGAGGGTAAGAGAAAGCTTGAAGTGTTTGAGGAGCTAGCAGTAATTCCTCCAATAATTTTAGGAGAAAAGTTAAGAATTAATGGGAACACAGACTTGTAAGCCATGTTGAGGCACTGAATTTTAATCCAAAGTACAATAAAATCCTACCTAAGATTTTAGGTAGATAGTATCCAATTTTTGTTTAATGAAGAGCACTTGGGTTATTGGGTAGAAAAGTATATTGGGGTGAGCAGAGGAGGAGAAACCCACGCATAGAAAGGTCAATCTAGAGAGAGATATTATGCAGTGAAAACAATCAGATCAAGTTTAGGAAGAATTGAGAGGACGTGGTGCTCTACTAGAAGCAAAAAAAGGAGAGAGGGGAATTCTGGGTGATAGCATGGGCAGCTGTGAAGATTGTGTGGTACTATTCCTGAAGAAAAGGAACATGAGGAATGTTTTCAGTTTTAGATATGTTGAGTCTGAAAGGCCTGAGGGTCATGCAAATGGGATATCTGGGTCATTTGAATGCCCAAGTTTAAAGTCAGGTCAGAAGTAAAAGTCAGAGATATAAGTGTGGAGATCATCAACATATAAAGGTGGTGGAAACCATTTGTGTATGAAAACACCCTTTAGGAGTGTACATGATATAAGAAGATGAAAAAAATGGAAATGTTTTAGAATATGGAAAAATAAGCAAAAAAGAAAACAATTTGGTTTACTTCATTAATTCAAGAAAGGAGAGGTTACATTTCTTTGGATGATTCAGCAGTAAAATAAGTAGGTACAGTCATGAGCATCTTAACAAGAGAGATGGGGTCTAAATATTCAAGTCCAGTTGTTTATTCTAGCATTATAAGTTAACTTTTTACTTTGGTCATAATTTTCATGCTTATGAAAGGGATACGCTTCCATGTCTGGTCTTCAGTACAGGTCATTAGAAGATTCTCCACATCTGATACACACCCTTCTCCAGTTGTTGTTAGTTACGTTGCTATCAATAAAGCAGACCCTTTAATAGCCTCTGTGACTTTGTTCTTGTCCAGACTCACAGCTACAGTGAGTAGCACCTGCCTGACTGTTGAGCAGACACCTCCCTGTCCACTCTCCCACTCCTTAATCACTTTCCATTTTGTCTCCACATCAGTCACTCCATGAGGCCTGTTATTGGCAACATTAGCAGTGCATTTTGTAAACTTAGGGGCCATGATGCAGGGAACAAAACCAGATTAAATCAAGCACAAGAGGAAATGTTGCTATCAAGAGAGGTGGTAAACATGAGATGCAGGGGGCTGTGGCTAGTGTGAAATTCTATAACCTGACAGTGGCAATAAGTACTTGGGTAGCACAGTCATATATATGATCTGTCATTGACCAAAACATTGTTATGTGGTACATGACTACAATCTGATGCAAACATTATGAATGTAAACCTTCACTATTGATTTTAACAGAGTAACAATAGAATTGAGTGCAGGGGCAGGTGTGTGTGTGTGTGTGTGTGTGTGTGTGTGTGTGTGTGTTTTTGGGCCATGGGAAAAACCCTAATTTCATCCTTTATAACAGAAAATTAAGTGAAATATCTAAAATTTAAAAATGAAAATCCTTTTTTTAATAGAATACTACTTTGAAACAGCAAAGTATATTAAGTCCTAAGAAACAGCTAAGAATGTTAAAAGCGATTTTACTTGGTGAATAGGAAATAGGAAAGAAAAAAGTGTGGTAAGAAACTGCTCTTTTATTTCTTTTATTATCAACCCTATATCATTGTTTGACTTGCTAAACTGTTTCTCAGTTACTTTGCTAAAAAATTAAAATTTAATTATGATTAGATGAAGTCATAGAATTGCTGATGAGTCATAGTTAGAATCCTCAAAGATCTTTGCAAAATGATTCCAACTTTCAGAATGAAGAAAATAAAATAAACCTTAGCAGTGAAGTAATATGTGACATATTCTGGGAGAGTGATGAACTGGATTTTAAAAAAGAACAGCAAGGCAATGGTGCAGTGTTCTACGCCCACACAGGGTGCTAACCAGTCATTACGTTTGTCCTATTTTCCAATGAAATACTGGCAACAGAAACATTGATTTATCACTATTTCATAAGGAGATAAATTGGCAAAGGCTATGGATTAAAGAGTACATAGAATGTATGTCTTGAAACTGGAAAATTTCCACTTAGGTTTGATGAGAATTGTAGCTAAATAGAATAGTTATTCATTCAATAAAGACCAGAGCATCTAAGTATAAAGCATTCTGCTAAACTTTGGGCGGGGAGGTGCTGAGAAAGATGAATGGTTTGCAGATTCAAGAAACTTTACAATCTACTGGGGAAGATATGAGCACATAGAAATTAAATTAAGTAAGATGTCACAGTCACTATATCAAGTCATTTAAATGGGGTCTCATGAGCAATTTAGTTTGACTGGATACTTTCATACATTTTGAATGAGAAGGATATGGTCACAGTGACGCATTTTTAGACTCCTAATTGAGTAGGTCTCGAGGGGAAAAGTATGGGGAGGAATGGAGATACATTCTGTGAAATCAAATTGATCTTTTCCAGAACTGTGTTTGCATTGGAGATGAAGGAAAGAGAAAGCCAATGCTTAAAAGATGGGAAAAGAGGAATCAAGAAAGAGAGAACATTAAGAATAAGAACAGTAACACCTAATGTTGCTAAACCAGTGGTTACAACCCATGGAGACCCTTCTAGGAAACAAGTGGATGGAGGTATCCAACTGTGTCCATGCCTATGTATGTCCATATCTGTAATTTATATGTTGATACACTGAGCAATGTCACAATGACCACTACATGGGGTGATTTGTTCATTTCTTGAAATTTCATGTATTTGTTTACTTAAAATAAGACAGGTTTTTAAGGGGTGCTTGCCATTTTGATGTAAATCAAAAATGACAGATTTTTAAAAGGAAGAGAATGTAATCACATAATAGTGGGGAGGAAGCATTTTGGAAGTCCCTGAGAACTTGGGAAAAGATTTGTCTGCTTAAGAGGTGCTCTGGCTTAAGGGTGAGAGGGGTAGCCAGTGGAATGGCTCAAAGAAAGGTAACAGAGTGTGGGTCTGGGAATGGAAGATTTGCTGAAAATACCAGGACACTTCAAATGTAGGCACATGATTAGTAAAAGGTATCCAACAATTCCTAGCTAAAGACCTTAACGAACAACAACCAGTTAAACAGGGTATATGGAAAAATCAGGAAAGGAATGCAGATAAATTTAAAAATTGATATGTTATAGTACTCATATTTCTTAAGGATAACTATATTTACAGAGCTATTGAATAGTAGGGTCGCAATAGTAGGGCCATCAATTTTCCAAAGGAGACAATTTAGAAATGAAAAAACAACCAGCATTTCAATAAGGACAAACAACACAGCAGTGGCCTAAGCAATAAAATCTTTACTGGGAAAGTGCTTTGCGTTACTGTTTTTGCTTTGGTTTTCTGTTATGGTGCTTTGATATTTTCCTGTGGTATACAGAATTTAGGAACAGAAACAGGTGGTCATGTGAGTCAGTAAAAAATTGATATTGTACTAATCAGGACTAAGTCCCTATGAAGCATTGTAAAGGACTGCAATTGATCTGGTCTGGACCACGATTTTTATCAGTACATTTAAGACATGATGGGTTGATGAGTATCTGTTCAGTTCTGTGGGCCCCTCCTTGAAGCAGCTCAGTAAGAACTGGAATCAACACTCAGCTGGACCAGCAGATTCCATTGTAGCCTCCTAGCCCCAGAAATTAGACACCACTTAGGCTGGGGGGTGCAGAAAGCTCAATAAAGAACCTAGCCATATCTGATGAACTGAGAAGAGGGAAATCATTTCTGTTTCCCAATGTCCTGTTCTACTTTTGGGAGAGGACACTGGCTTCCTCCGCTCCATTCCAAACACTCACCCTCCCACCCCGACCCCTGCCTGTATGGGAGCCCCTGCTCCTCATGGGACAACATTGTACTAATGCAGGGTATAGCTGTTCCACCCAAGGCCACCATTGTCATGGGATGCACCTGGTCATCGTTACTCAACATTCTTCCTGGAAGAGGTCCTTGATGTTTCTCTTGCTCCCTGAACTGTGAATTGAACCAGGAAGTAGGGAAATGCCCTGTGGAACATTTAACTGAACAACCAACTAAAAGCAGATCAGACAGGTCAAGTGATGACTCATGCTTTGGAGCTCATTTCATCCCTTTGGGATAACCCATACTCCTTCCCTGAATCCTCTGAAATAAATTGCAAAGGTTTAGAAAGTTTAAAAACAAATGCTTCCCCTGTGGGGAGTTGTCCCTAAGAGTGAATTTCCACATTGATTTTAATTTCCTGTCTTGCTACATTTTCTCTTTATACCCTGCCCTCTGCCATCTCTTTGGAAGCTGCCATTAAACCTTGAATTGTGTTTAATGAAGAAACCAAAGAAGTCAATTAACATTTCCATGGTCACACATACCTTTCCTAATGACTTACCTGCATTATCCTTCTGTTCTCAAGATAACTAGAGTATTTATTTCCTGTGCTACCCAACTGAGTTTCCAATGCTCTGCTGTCTATATTTTATTCCCTTGTTTTACTTTGGTTATTCCATCTTCCCACTGCAGGGGGTGGTGCAGTGCTTGTGTTAATAAGGGTCAGTGAGTCCCTCATCCATAACTGAGTCTTCTCTCCCTGGTTTGTTGTTGTCCCTCAACTTTGATTTCCATAAGATCAATATTGAATTTTCTTTGAGAGGAATGCAATTTCATTGCCAAGTGTCCACCACATTGTGAGGATTGCACCAGTGCTTGCTGATGGCTCATTCTTGCTGCTGGACTCCAGCATGTGGGTGAACTTTTACGCCTGAAGCACCCAAGCCCAGCCTTCTTGTCTGTCTCTTACCCAGGGAATGAGATGAACAATAGTACGTTTCATACCAGAAGAAAGATGAAGCTTTCAAGGTCACTAGCCAACATCTAAGTGTGAACATTCTGATGTGAGGGTAAAGAAAAGAGAAAACTTAGACTATTCCTCTTAATTTCATAATTATTGACAAAGTAGGGAGGCTTCTTTGCTTTTCTTTTCCTCAAGTTTAATGGAGAGGTTATTACATAACCCATATAAAATTAAGTTATACAATAGGATGATTTCAAATGAGTATATGTATTTGCTACATATGTGCTAAATATGCTACATATTTGCTAAAAATGTGTGTGTGTGTGTGTATATATATATATATGAAGTGGCTACACAATAATGTTGGTTAATACCTCCATGCCATCACATAATTATCATTGTATATGTGTGTGTGGTAGACCATTTAAGACTTACTCTCTTAACAACTTCCAAATATTTAATGCAGTATAATGCAGTATTGCTACTGACAGTCACATGCTGTATGTTAGTTCCCCAGAACTTATTCATCCTCTACCTGGAAGTATGACCAACATTTCCCCATTCCTGTGTACCCCAAGTTCCTGACAATCACCAATCACCTCTATTTCTGAGTTTAGCTTTTTACATTCCATATATGAGTGATACCAGGTAGTGTTTGCTTTTTCGGGCTCATTATTTCATTGGCATAGGGTCTTCAAGATCCACCCATGTTATTGACTATAGCAGGAGTGGGTTCTTTGAAGATGGAATCTTTTCCACTGTGCCTGAGGTCATGAGTTCTTAGCAGGGGGGCCAAAAAGGACACATTTACAAAGACAGGCACCATTTTGCTCCTAGATCCGGGGAGGAATGAATCTGCTCAGTTACTAAAGTGGTGTGAGTCACTGAGCAGCTGACCCATTAGCAGTCATTAGCCAGCCACAGGCTCCAGAAAGCAAGTACAATTGTGCAATCTTTAAGAACTTACAAATTAGGGTTGGGTACTGTACTGAGAGATCTGGGACTGTTATTAAATAGGCAAGACTTTCCGCCTGCTGACTATTTTGGCCCCCTGGGCCCAGCAACACGAACAAGTACTTACAATCAAGAAACAACATCTCCACCATAGCTGGACACCAGGGGCAGGTCGAAGCGTGGCCTCCTACACATAGATGTTTATTTCTTTCTCCCTGTTTGCTCCTCATGAGATCATACACTAAAACTCATGTGCTGAACAGACAGATCAGGTTATTTAGTTGATGTCATCTGGTCCCTTAGACAATGAACTGTTTACTACCAGGGCTATTTTAATAGCTATTGACTCGTATGTGTGTCGTGCCAAAACACAGGGAGCAATGGGAGACCTGGGGTGGGGAACTAAACTGAGCACAAATGCCAGGCAGGATAAGAACAGGATGTCTCTCAATTAGGGAACCAAGGCAGTCAGCCAAGAAGGGACAAAGCACTTGCCAGGCTGTCGGAAGTATGAAGTGCTACCCTTGAACCCCAACTTCCTCATTCTTCTCACTCTGGCAGCCATCTTTACTTGGCACCTCCCTTTTATCCACTCTGTAACACTGACCTTGGTTAGGGCACCTATAAGGATGCCTGTGGTAGAGCTTTGTGGATAACTGGTCAGTTTTCTGGACATTTTGCCTCTACTTTGATACCCTACTTCCTCAATGTCTGGTTTCACTGTCTGGTCACTAGGTCTGCAGCCCCAGCCTGGCTGGTAGGTGACTGGGCACTTGTCTAAACCCCAGGTCCTTAATGATAGGTTCTCCTGACATCTAATTCAGTCAAGTTATTCTGCCTCGTACTTTGGTCCTGCAGTACTGGATTTCCCGCCCATGAGCTCTAGCATCTGTTGTCATTGATGGGCTGCATATTTGTATTCTTGATTACCTGGTATGAGGCTGGCACTGTTTTAGGCATTAAGGATACAGTGATAAACTGTATATAGAGAAGGTTCATGTTTGCTTGGAAATGAACTTGCATGTTGTCTAGGGAGAGATAAGGGAGTGTGAGAGATAAAAAACAAACAAAATTTACATGATATTTTCAGACAATACTAAATGAATAAATGCAGAAAAGGATGCTATGAGAGTAACTGCAATGGGGGAGACATGACTTCAACAGAGCAGGATATCAGAGAAATTCCTACTGAAAAGATAACATTTACAATAAGATTCTGTGGAAAGAAAGTCAGTTTTGTGAAGATCTGGAAGCAGAGGGAAGAACAAGAGTAAATGACATCAACAGGGACTGAGCTTGAATTGCTCTAGGAAGTCCTGGGTGGCATATAGGGAACAGGTGACAAAGAATGTGATAGAGATGAGGTTAGAGGCAAGGCCTGTAGTGTAGGACCTTGGAGGCCAAGGGAAGGAGTAAATCTTAGTCCACATGCTTTGGCAGATGAAACCATGAGAGGAATTTTCTGCAGGGAGTTGACATAATTTGACTTGCATTTTAAGAAATCATTCTGTCTGCTTCGGAGGGTAGGGATTATAGAAGGCGTGAGAGCAGAAAGAATAATCAGGAGCCCGTGTATTATCCAAGAAATTCTAGTAGTTTGGCTTGGACTAAAATGTTATGCAGAGGTGGGAGACAAGTTAACACAGCAGAGATCCACTCTAGAGATAAAGCCAAAATGCTGTGCCAATGGATAGAACGCGGGAGGCTGGGAGGGAAAGGAATCAAGGATCGTGCCTAGGTTTTTGGTTAAGCACCTGGGTGGATGACAGTCCCTTTTACCGAGTGAGACAGGGAACACCAAGTCAGAGCTGTGGTGGTGGCAGGGAGAGCAGGGTCATAGCAGTCATGAAATTTGGTCATTCTTCTTAGACAAACAAGT